ATTTTTGGAGAGAAAATAGCATTGGAAATCAACCAGGTAGGACTGAGTAAAATCACCTTGTGTGGAGTCAAGGTTGCCTGAACTGCTTCCAGTGGTCTAAGGGTATGAAGGTGTTATAACATGGGGAAAACAGGGGCTGGGAAGGTGGCTCAGTGGTAGAGTGCTTGCCTTGCATGCATGAGGCCCTGGGTTCGATTCCTCAGCACCACATAAGGAAAAAAAGCCGGAAGTGGCGCTGTGGCTCAAGTGGTAGAGCACTAGCCTTGAGCTGAAGAGCTGAGGGACAGCGCCCAGGCCCAGAGTTCAGGCCCCACGACCGGACCAAAAAAAAAAAAACATTTGGAAAACATTTCTAATTAGAACACTTTCCCATGTCAGGAAAAGGAGAATAAACAGGCAAAGGATAGCCCAGCCGAGTTATTTTTACTGTGGAAAAAAGTGAGCATTTTAATGATAATAATAGGCCCCTGACAAGATGTAGGATGTAGGCAAAGAATGTTGTGAGGAGGAGGGGTGCTGGGAAGCCAGGCTGCTTAAACAAGCATGGGTGAAGCAGGTAGTTTGGTTATAGACTGTCCTAGTTATCATTGTTTGGGTTCTTTGTTAGGCTACAAAGCAAGGAAATCTATTGGCTGATATTTCAGGCCCATCCTTACTTCTGTCTAAATGGGCCAATGTATGGGTACATTTCTCTCAATTTGGGGGCTTCTGTAGGAAGGTTAAACACCTTTCAAACTTGTCACTGGGGATCTTTTCTCTTTCCTCCTCATCTGACTACCTTCTTACTTTAACAGAAGTTCTTTATTTTTTTGTTGTTGTTCAAATGTTTGGACCACACTTTTACAGTGACACAAAGACTTCTGATGAAGGTCTATGTAAATTCCTGAATCTGTTTGGCTTGGAAAGAGGGCTTGGAATCCACCTAGAAAAGAGGAAATGGCTCTGTTAAGGAGAGGAAGATGACAGCTGTGGTTAGACCAGAAAGTCACTTTGGTATATTGAAGGGAAAACATTGCTGAAACACAATGAACACAAAACAAACTGATTTATAAAGGAAAGAGAGTACCCATTCTAATTTAACTGAATTAGTGACTTTTTTTTGTGTAATTTCAGCCCCTAAAGTTTTCACATTTGTGCTAGGTGCTTTGTGGAATCTTAAAATCTGTAAGGGAATTGAATTACCTTTTATCTTAAAAAAAAAAAAGGAGATAAATATACATACTACTACTAGAGATCCAAAAGATTAGAATATTGTCACCAAATTTGCCAAGGGGAAGAATCTATGATATAATTAACCACAGTCTAGTAAATGTGAGATACTGAAGCTCAAAAACCTAGAGGTTCCAATGTTCTCTGAAAAAGTGGAAAGTTACTTATTCAAAATAGTTCACCAAAAACACATCCAATTTGCTTGATTTCAGTAGATTTTATTTAAGTGTGTTGTGAGAATGGACAAAGCTTTCTTAAAAGTAATTCACTTAGTAAATAGACATTGTTTAAATAAGAATGGTCAATTAGGGAATATTATTCACTTTATCCAATATCTACAATCAGTAGTACGTGCCAGGTGCTATGTTAAATACTTTACATCTATTTTCTCCTCTCATCCCCACAGGTTAGAAGACATGGAATGTGAGGAAAAATGAGAACCTGCCATAATTGTTCCCAAGCAATTCAACATTTTGAGAGTGATTGGAGAGTTTGGCTTAATTACCAATGGAATGCAACAGGTGTAATAACAGTTTGGATGAGAGAATATAAAAGATAAGCTAATTAAGCCCATCCCAAAGAAAAGAGAAAAGAGCAAGGGATCCTTTTAATTGAGAAATATGACAGTGACATTTGATTTTCAAAATGATTAGTTTTCTAGACAGCATGTGCGGGGGGGGGGGGGGGGGGGAAGGAGGAGGGGGACGGATAAGAACCTTTTAGTAAAGAGGAAATGTGCGAACAAAGGAATGTGTTTTTGAAAGCATTCTCTTAGCTTTAATGTACAGTTAAACAAAGTCTATACCAGCTACCAAGCTAAGAGAGAAATCAAGGTCAGAGAAGAACAAACAAAACTCCTGAGTGTAGGTCCTAGGTATAAAGCTAGGAAAGTGGCCAAGGATAATTGTATGGCTCTGATTCAGGCACCCATAAAGGACAAAGCCTCCAGATTAATCAATAATCTAAATACAAAAAGCTCATAGAAGGCGACAGGGCACAGAAGTTACAGCAGGTATTGAAATAGGGAGGGAAAAAAGGCTTTTTTTTTTTTAATTTAATTTTATTTTATTTGAGAACATACTGTACAGAGGGGTTACAATTACATGGGCAGGATAATGCATACATTTCTTAACAAGCATTGCAGCCTCCTCCTTTGTTTACCCTTCACCTCCCTTCCCAGCCTCCCCCCTCCCCCCACCCAATCATACCCCCCCTCTCCCCCCCCACACCGACATTGTAAAGCTGGTTTTGACATGACATTTTGTACTTCTCATTGTTGCAACAGGTCCACCTGAATCCTTAAACGACTTGTTTGTCCCCATCTCCTCCACATGTTATACATCAAATATAGTGAAAGCGGGGGTTACACTGTGGGAGAGGGACATACAAAGCAACAAAGAAATAATCTTATAAATGCGTTAGAAACACATGCATGAAAGAAACAAAAACATTAAAATACATATTTAAGGGTTCGTTTTCCTAACATCACATTATCTGACCTTTTCCGCTTGACTCATACATATACTAGATATTGCAAATAAGGGAAACCATGGGACCTATGTTTCTTTGGGCCTGGCTTACTTCACTTAATATAATTTTTTCCAAGCCTTTCCATTTCCTAACAAATGGGGCAATGTCATTCTTTCTGATGGAGGCATAGAATTCCATTGTGTATATATACCACATTTTCTTGATCCATTCATCTATTGAGGGGCATCTGGGTTGGTTCCATATCTTAGCTATGGTAAATAATGCTGCAATAAACATAGTTGTGCTGGTAGCTTTAGTGTGGTCTTTTTTGTAAACATTAGGGTAAATGCCCAAAAGTGGGATTGCTGGGTCATAGGGGAGTTCTATGTGAAGTCTTTTGAGGAACCTCCATACTGCTTTCCAAAGTGGTTGAACAAGTTTACATTCCCACCAACAATGAAGTAAGGTTCCTTTCTGTCCACATCCCCTCCAGCATCTGTTGTTGTTAGAGTTCTTGATTTTTGCTGTTCTAACTGGAGTGAGGTGATATCTCAATGTTGTTTTGATTTGCATTTCTTTTATGGCTAGGGATGTTGAACATTTCTTCATGTGTCTATTGGCCATCCTTCTTTCTTCTTCAGAGAAGCTTCTCTTTAAGTCTTTTGCCCACTTATTTATTGGGCAGTTGGGAAAAAAGGCTTTTTGTACTTAAGTACTCTTCTGGAAAGATCCTTGACTTCAGAACCTGGGTGAATCCAGTGAATGCCATAGGAGGCCTGTGATTTGATAACATTTTGACATCTCAGCTTCAATAATGGCTGCTACAAGAAACGGATATTATTTCCCAAGTACAACAGCCTCATTACAGTTTATTGCCTAATCTATCTGCAGTAAAGGTGTCTACATAATTTTGGTATCTAAAACTCATCAGTCAAATTTAGTTCTCTTCCATCTCATTCACTCAAGGCCAAATACCTCATCCACTTAGGAAACTAGAAGTCTTTTACAGTCCTCTCTTCTTCCAGGAACTGTGACTACATATTGGTTTTGGAGACATTCACCTGTTCTCCTTTCCTTGGAGTAGACACATCCTTTGTCTAGAACAGTCAAGAACCTTTCTCTCCTTGGCAGGAAGGGTTTGAATCAATAAAACTAATGGGAGTCAACGAAGCACAAACTGAACCACAAAAAAATGCTTACTCTTGTTTTTCTTTATTTTTTAATCAATAACTATATCTGGGGGACACACGTGGACAAGTAATTCTTTTTGCTGTTGTTGTGGTTGTTGGTCATGGGGCTTGAACTCTTGGCCTGAGTGCTGTCCCTCAGCTCTTCAGCTCAAGGCTAGCACTCTACCACGTGAGCCACAGCAATACTTTTGATTTTGTGGTGGTTTATTGGAGATAAGAGTTTCATGGACTTTCCTGCCCGGGCTGGCTTTGAACATGATCCTCAGGTCTCAGCCTCCTGAGTAGCTAGGATTACAAGCGTGAGCCACCGGTGCCTGACTTGGACCAGTAATTCTAATTGTTGGAGGTAGACATTCTTGAGTAAAGAAACATGCATTGTGGCATATGGATTTTTAATGTGTGATGGGATAAGTCACTGCACCAAAACCTACATTATTGATTTCAAATTGTTACACGAGCTTTTCAGGAAATGAGTATAGTTCAGCTAAAGGCTCTCAAAAGTTCACTCAACTGCTCTGAAGAAATGAATGGAGAGTTTCTTGAGGAAGAAACTATTTTAACTGACATTTAAAATGTGTGTGTGTGTGTATGTGTGTGTGTGTGTGTGTGTGTGTGTGTGTATGTGTGTGTGTGTGCTGTGTTTAGGTGGTGGGAGCGAAGTAGGTCTTCTTGCAGGTGTAAAGTTATTGTGGCAGAAAGTAGCTTAACATTTTTGAAGAACTGAGAAATGTCTATTGGCTGAATTATGGTAAAGGAAAGAAAGTTCTGGATAAAACTGGAGAGAAGAGTAGAGACTTATAGCACAGGCCTCCTAGATCATATTATGATTTAGATATTTATCCTAATTCACTTATTAAAAAAGAACAGCTAAGTGACAATAGCTCACACCTGTAATCCTAGCTACTCAGGAGGCTGAGATCTGAGAATCATGGTTCAATGCCAGATGGGGCAGGAAAGGCTCTGAGACTCATCTCCAACTCACTACCAAAATCCCCAAAGTGAAACTGTGGCTGAAGTAGTACAGTGCTATCCCTTGGGCATAAAAGCTCAGAGATAGCATCCAGGTCCTCCAGGACCAGCCCAGACAAACAAAACAAAGCAAACAAACAAAAACATTTGGGCACTGGGAAGATGAAGAACAGTAACTACATGAGGTACATGCTGAACAGAGATATGCAATTAGACCATTTGGGTTTCAATATGGAGCTTACACTTGCACTGGCTGTGAGAAAGTTACTTTTGAACACTCAATTTCTTTATCTGTAAAAACCGAAGTATTATGTGCCCATAAGGAAACGGTGACAATTATATGACTAAATCAAAACACTATGAAATAGAAAAATAATAGTTGGAGTGTTTTAAGCAGTAGCATGACACATAGGTTTAAAATTTTCTGAGAGTAACAACTGTGAAGAATGGACTGAAGGAAAGCAGCAGAGAGTAGGAAGAGCCTTGTTAATGAGGGTGTTTTAGTAGTGTAGGTGTAAGGTATTTTCCTGGCCTGGAAAACTGGTAAGGAAAACAGAAAGAAGTGCAAAGATTAAGAAATTAGCAAGTTTAAACAAATACATAAAAGCAGAAAGTGTTTGGTGATTTCTAGGGATGTAGGGATGGGAAGATTTTAAAAATAGTAAGCTAAAGAATATAAAGGTATAGGGGAGGCTGGGAAGGGAGGTGAAGGGTAAACAAAGGAGGAGGCTGCAATGCTTGGTAAGAAATGTATGCATTTTCCTGCCCATGTAATTGTAACCCCTCTGTACAGTATGTTCTCAATTAAAATAAAATTTAAAAAAAAAAAGAAAATTGAAGATAATAATAGTATTAACATCAAAAAAAAAAAGAATATAAAGGTATGAATTGTAGAAAGAATAAGCTTAGGCAATCAGATATACAACATGAGAACTATAGGAACAATAATATGTTATATTCTGGGAATCTGCCAAAGAGGATTTTAGGCATTCTTACCACAATCAAACACACACCAGAGTAATGATATGATATGCTGAGCATATTTATTTACTTGGCTGTAGTTAGTATATCAAAGCATCATTTGTTCTGTACCTTACATATATACAATAAATATAAAGACTAGTAAAGGCTACTACATTGTTAATATAAAATCTAGTGTTATTGTGTTGGTTTATAAGTAATTTTCCTGTGTGATGTGAAAGACAAATGCTTAAAATAATTGTATTTCTTAATTGGCACCAAAATAAAACAAAGAGGGCTTAAATGAAAATGCTATTCTGATCTACTGATTGGAAAGGGAGAAGCAAGAGAGAGGAAGAGGCTTCTCAATTATTGCATAAATGGCATTTTGTAAGATAATGGATGGTGTGGGTTTTTTTAGAGCCATGGAGTGGTAAAAGAACAGCCACGTTCATTGCAGCACTACTCACTATAGCCAAGGTATAGAATGAGTCCATATGCCCCTCAAAGGACAAATGGATCAAAAAATACGGTATACTCATAATGGAATCTTATTCATTTATTAAAAAGAATGATATCTCATCACTTTCAAAGAAATAGATAGACCTGGAAAAAAAATAAGTGAAATGAAACAACTCAGGCCCAGAGAGAAAAAGGATACACGTTTTTCTTTCATATGTGGAAGCTAGAACTAGTTCATACATATAGAAATAAACACTTTGGGTGGTGTGCAAGTGTAAACAAGAATATTAATTGAAATATGGTAGATTCAGGTGAGAACTCAGTGTAATTCCGGAGACAGACAATATCATAGTTCAACAAAATAAACACCAGAAAACAGGTACTTGAGAAGGAGTAGGGTGGGGTTAGGGTAGTGGGAGTAGATGGATGAAGAGAAGAGGGGGATAATGCAGTCTGAAGTTCAAGGCATATCCTACACAATTAAGAAAAATAGCAGGGCTGAGATGGGAAGGATGGGTGAGAATGTTGAAAGGGGTGCCATTGATTGAGATGCATTGTAGTCATAAACTGCTTTGTTGAATGGCAACTCCCTTATACAACTACTTAAAGACAATATATATGTACACATATATGTATGTATGTATGTATATGTATGTGTGTGCATATATATGCATATATATACATAAACACACATATGCATACATACGTGTGTACACACACACACACACACACACACATATACATGATATATATACACACATACATAAAGTTTACTGAGCCAGGAACAGAGGAGAAACGTGATTGAAAGCTAAACAAAGGAGCTCCATGCTGCTCTTGGTGCTGCTGAACCCATATGGAGACAGGCTTGTAGGGGATTAGCAGGGATTTTGCTGATTTACTATCTCTCTTTTGTGGGCCCTTTTGACTAATTGTCTCTTTTTTGGACTATGGTTTGAATTCCAAGCTCACAGATACATCTTGAGAGCTTGGTTTTCACATTTGCATTCCACCTGGCCCATTTTTGTGAACTTTGTCTGCTTCTATACGCCACCTGGCTTATTTTGCTTCCTAGGCTCACCTCCACATTCCGCTGGGTCCTTAGTATTTTTTTGGTCTCCGTGCTTTCAATATGACCTTCACAATTCCAAAATAGAGGTAAAACTTGTGGGTAAAGAATCATTTCAGAATGGACATGATTGAGGAATTTATAAGAAATCGTTTGGAGAAGTTTCTAGGGTGGGGAAGGTATTTTTGGATCCACAGGTGTAGTATTCAAAAAAGAGGGAAAAAGAGGAGAAAAGAGAGGTGTAATTTCTAGTGTCACTGGAAGGTAGATAACAACTAAAAGCATGCATCTTCCAGGAATAGATTGGAGCAAGAGACTGAAAGAGAATAAAACCCCGAGAAAGCTCATTTTTCTTCACGGATCAAGTAAGAAGGAAGTGGTAAAAGAAACAGAAGCAGTGATCCCCAAAGAAGGAGAAAATTAGTGAGTTTCCTGTAGGAGGACAGGGTCAACAATAATGATTTTACAAAGGAAAAAGAAGATGGGAAGAGATTTAGCAGGAATAAGATTACTAGAAAAGGATGGCCCATGAAATTTTGAAGGAAAAACAAGATCAAGACTGAGCAGTGAATATGTGGAAAATTAGTGGACATGGAAGGTTTAGTCATGGAAAGCAGGGAATGGCAGGTGGAAGATAGCTTGTTTGGTTTTGTTATTTTTTTTTGGTATGGTTTTGTCTTTCTTTAAGATGAGGGAAAATTATTTAAGTAATAGCTGGAGGCAGAGGTAGAAAAGGAGGGTGGGGAAACAGCAATTCTTCAAGAAACTCTTCTTATAATCATAGTTACAAAAATCTTCAATAAGATGCTAGGAAACTGAATCTAGCAATATATTAAAAGATCATACAGAATGATCAAATATAATAAATTCCAGGGATACAGGCTTGCTTAATAAAGACAACCTAGTGCATTATTAGAATATTATTAGAATAAATGTTAGAATATTATTAGAATAAAGAATAAGAATTTACTCTCTGATACTTCAATATATGAAGGAAAATGACATAGAAAATCCAATTGCCTTTAATAATGAAAACATGCATCAATGCAGAAATGGAAGGGAACTTCCTAAACTGAGAAAAGGGCATTTGCAAAAAAAAAAAAATTCCAAAAGCAGAATTAATAATGCATAACAAAAGGTTTAAAGAAGTTTAAAGTTTTGTCCCAAGTTCAGGAACAAGATATAGAAGTCCACACTAACCTTTTGTATTCAAATTTGCACCAGAAGTTCCAGCCAACGCAAGAAAAAAATAATAAAAGGCACCAAATTATAAAGAAAAGAGTTAAACTATTTGTTGATGCTGTCATATTAGGGATATACAAACAGATAAATACATAAGAACGAATCTGCAGCAACACCGCAATATCTAAAGTCCATATATAAAAATCAGTTGTATTATCCTATTCAGTAATGAACAATAAAAAATGAAATTAAGAAAACAACTTCATTTACAAACATATGCACTAATGAGTAGGTAAGACCAGTTGCAAGAATCTATTGTATTTTTATATTTTAGCAACGAATAATGCAAAAATAAAATTAAGAAAACAACTTTATAACAGCATCTAAAAATTGGCCAGGCATGGTAGATGACTGCATGCCTTTGAGGCTAGCTTGGGACATATGACAAGTTATAGCAAGCCGGGATTAACTAGTGAGACCCTCTTTCAAAAAAAATAAGCTGGGTGCCAGTGGCTCATGCCTGTAATCTTAGCTACTCAGGAGGCTGAGATCTGAAGATTGTGGTTCAAAGCCAGCCCTGGCAGGTAAGGTGGTGAGGCTCTTACCTCCAATTAACCATCAGAAAACCGGAAGTGGCTGAAGCGGTAGAGCGCTAGCCTTGAGCTGAAGAGCTGAAGGCCAGGGGCTAGGCCCAAAGTTCAAGTCTTACAACTGAAAAAAAAATAATAGTTTAAGGTTGTAGCTTAGTGGTAGAGTCCTTCCTGTCAAGTAGAGGACCCTGAGTTTGATTGTCAAACAGCAGAAAAACGACCCAGACAACAAATGTAGCTAACTGAACAAATTGTGTACAAAACTATTTTGTTCAACAAGAAATACTAAACAGTATTGATAAATATCTGAATAAATTAGAAAGGTAGTCTGAGTTCACAAATGAGAAAGCTTAAAATAATAGAATCACAGTATTTCCCACACAAATCCAATGCCATTCCAGTCATAGTTCAAGGTTTTTCTCCTTCCCTCCCTCCCTCCCTCCCTCCCTCCCTCCCTCCCTCCCTTCTTTCCTTCCTTCCTTCCTTCCTTCCTTCCTTCCTTCCTTCCTTCCTTCCTTCCTTCCTTCCTTCCTTCCTTCCTCTTGTGTGTGTATATGTGTGTGTGTGAATTCTGGGGCTTGAACTCAGGCCTTCCCACTGTGAGTTTAAGCTCTGAAAAATAAGGTCTATTCTGAGTTTTTCAATTTTACTAATTTTATTGTTTATTGTTTATGTGGTACTGAGGAATTGAACCAGGGCCTCGTGCATGCTAGGCAAGCATCTACCACTAAATCATATTCCCAGACCTGAGTTACATTTCATCTATGATGGAAGGTAACGCTCCCACTCTTTCACTTTGCATGTGGCTATCTAGTAGTCCCAGCACCATTTATTGAGAAAGCTCTTTATTCTCTCATTGTGGGATCTTGACATCTTGTCAGAATCAACTGAGTGTTGATGCATGATTTTATTTCTGGATGCTCAGCTCTGTTTTATCTATCATTTCGTTTATCCTTCTGCCAGTCACCACACTGTTTTGATTAATGTACTTGTGAGTGAGTTATGAAATTGTAAGTGTGAGACTTCCATCTTTGTCTTTCTTTTGTAAGATTGTTTTAGCTTTCTGGGTCCCTTTCATTTCTTTATAAATGTAGGAACAGCTTGTCAATTTATGCAAAAGAGAGAGAGAGACAGACAGAGAGAAAGAGAGATGGGAAAAAAAAGACAAGGAAAGAAGAAATCTGGAGCTTGGTGCTGGTGGCTCATGCCTATGATCCTAGCCACTCAGGAAGCTGAAATCTAGGGATGGAAGTTTAAAACCAGCCCCCAGATAGAAAAAGCCTGGGCAGAAAACTTGAGATTCATATTTCCAATTATCCAGCAAAACAACTGGAAGTGGGAATGTGGCTAAAAGGGTAAGCCTTGGGCTGAAACATTCAAGCAAGATTAGGAGGTCTTGAGTCCCTAGTACCTACCTACACACACACACACACACACACACACACACACACACACACCACATGGGGATACACACATGTGCATACCTGCACACATACAATCTTGTGGCAGTTTGAAGAAGGAAAACATGTTAATGTTGAAAATAAAAATAAAATAAAGAAATAAAATAAAATGAAGAAATAAAAGGGATCCTGAGGTCTAAACAGAGCTGATAGCATTTGATTAGAGACTTCAGAGATGAGTTGGATCATTGTCATGAAATAAAGGACTCCAGGCAGACAGAAATAACTCAGCAAAGCTCTGGGACGAAGAAAATGTAGGTTGTGTTCATGAATTCAGAACAGAAAATAATCTGTAAACAAAAAGATAAGCCTAAATATATAGATAAGTGGTTTGGATTTTGAAAGTGCTGGATTAATGAAATGTTTCATATCATCATGTGTTACTGCATGTACACTTGGAACTGAGTGAGATTTAGAGTTGATTCCTCTTAGGTCCCTTGAGAGAAGTAAATGCCAAGGCTAGAGGTCAATACAGCATCACGTAGGGACATAAAATAGGAATTAGAGATATATGAAAGACTGGCGATAACGAAAACCATAACAATTAAAGCAAGTATCAAAGAGAGCAACGGATGGGAGATTTGCCAGCTTTGAATTAATTAAATGGCAGCAAAATGAAACAATCTTTCTCCAGTGCAGCGAGGTCATAATGCTATCCCATTATGATTCATTCCAAATTCAACTTTGATCCATTTGGTTGGTTAAGAACGAAATGAGGGTTACATTGCCAATAGAAGATTGTCATTGGTCTCAAAATTACTTAAATTGAAGGTATTGTTCTTACTTATACCTGCTTTCTGTGATCTCAGAATTGGTATTAATAGGATTTGAACATGACTAACACTTGAATTAGGAAATGTAACAATAATTTACAAAAATGTAACCAACAAGGTCTATGTTTCAAGCTTTTGATCTTTGCTTGTGCCCTGTGTTTGATCGCTAGGGCAAGGGAAGAATGACTGCTCTTAAGTGAAATGGACAGGAATGAGAGGTATTGATCGGGTTCTTCCTGCCATTGATTGTGTAGCCAACTGTCATTTCTCCAAGTAGTGAATCATGTTGACAGGATGCATTACATTTAATGCATTTTTCCGTATCTAGAAGATTTGTAATTGAAGCACGCTTGCCTTTTAAGAGGAAGCTCTGCTGTGTTCTACAGCCATTGAAATCTTTATCCTGACTGGGAAAGTTAGTATCTCTGCTACCTAGAGAGATTTGAACATGAAGCTCTCAACTCCTCTTTGCTTTGGACTCCTGACATTTGTATCTGGGATGATCGCTCTAGAATCAGTGCATGGACGGCCATATCTCACCCAGGGTATGTACACAAAAATCTAAAATACTACAGGTAAGCAGATGATCCTTATCTTACTATGTACATCACTCTGATTTTTCTGCCATTAGTGAAGTAAGGTTCTATGGCATTAATATAAGTCAGTTGCCAAACATTATTTAAGTAGTTGTTGTTCTAAATTAAATGTAGTCTAGGAAGCTCTCTCCTCAAGTAAATTGTACCAAATTAACTTGACCCAATATTGTATTAAATTATTCCCTAGTATACTTTTTTCCCCTAATCATGAGTAAATTGCTTTGAACATTTCTGAATAAAGATCAGGAATGTATAAATAGTAAAATAGCCAGTCATATAATCTTTGCATATTTCAAAAATACATCTTGATGAAAGAAAAAAAGATAATTTTTATTGGATGAGAATATCAGTGAATACTTGTGAAATGAGAGCAACTTGGAGACTAATAAACAAAGATAAAAATATATTTGCATAGAGAATACATGGAGAATAATACATGGAGAAAACTCCATGTAACTAACCTTCAGGAGGGCAATGCTAGCACACAGCTTAAATACTCACTAGCTTTGGCTAAAGTGTAGCAAATTCATAGTACTTACATTATACAAAATAATCTGATCAATCTATAATACATAAACTTCTATAAAATTAGTGAAATTAAATTGTTGCTCTTATTACAATGTTCAAATAATTTCTTACAATTATCAATGCTCTCTACAGTAGAAGTAGATCTTAATATAAGATGTGGAGTTAGTATTTGTACTAATTCATTATAAACTAACAATTTAGCCACATTGAAACCTGTATACATTTTTTATGTTTTAAAAATTGTGACTTAAATTAATACCCCTTCGATGCTGAAATTCTGAGTTTTTCGCTGACTTTTTTTACTTTCAATTTACAGAAGGGATCTTAATGGAATATAATAAATCTTGTTTGAGTTACACTAAGTAGAAAAAGGGATCAAGCTTCCCACTTTTGGATGGAATTCAACCTTATTAGGCTTTGTTTCCTACAAAGTGGTTTTATAAGTTAATGGCTGTCATTATGCAGTGGAAAGAAATTTGCATGGGCTTCATTATTTATGGTCAGGGATCATCTCATTGAAAAGCGAATCATAACAGAAACCTAAATAAAAGGCTGGACTCAAAGAACCTGAATTTTTATCCATGACGCCCTTTGTTCACACACCTCTTTGTTTACTAAAAAATTAATGCACTTGGTAGTGCTCTTTTGCTATCTCTGCAGGAGATTTTCCCAATGCTTCTAATCCAGTATTAACTTGAGAGAAAGAATATGGTTATTTGCTGAGGACTTTGCAAAATTAGTATGTGTTAATAGCAATTGTAAAATTAGTATGTGTTAACAATTGTGATTTCACATGCATTTGTGAAATAAAAAATAGAATTCCAACTATAAAGCATTTGCTTGATTATAATTAAATCACCCTTCTGAACTTAGAATCCCAGTGTTTTGCTTCTATCATTGTCAGCTAAATAGAAGTATTTTTCTTCAAGTGAGATCCTGCTTGATCTCATCGTATGCAAATGAGATGATTTCAGATCTAAAGTGTTTAAGACTAAAGAAAGCTTCTCTACATGCACACATTTTTTTCAAAGCTACAAATTATTTGATTTTAGTTTTTTAAATAAGCATACATCTTTGTATAGACTATAAAGTTGGAAATGTCTAAACATCCCTCAGTATGGCATATAATATCCAAGACATATAATTCAATCCTGTTAGCTTTTATCTAAAAAGGGCCACTCTCTGTAGATAAGCCTTAAACTTGGAAACTAGCTTAACACAAAAAAATGGAAGAGAGAATATCATAGCCAAGAAGACTGGAAAATTTATATTTTGCTATACTATTATTTGGGTTATCTCATTGTTTCTTTCTGATAAAACTTCTTGTCTCTTTAGTTAAAAGTGTCTCATGCAAATGAAAGGCTAAATGAGAAGTTTGCTAAAGTTTTGTGCCTTGAGTAATAACGAATCAATGTTTTCTGGCAGTTGCTTAAACAATCACTATTGGTTGTATGAGTAGTGCTACCATTCATGCCAGAGATAAACCTAAATATGACATTTAATATCACCTCCCCTCTCAATATTAAATCTGTTCAAAGATAGAAACATTAAAGGTAAAAAGTGGGGTTTTTCCTTAAAGTTATGTTGTAAATTAAAAATGGAGGCAAGAAACACAATTATTTTCTATGATTTTTTTTCCTTTAGCTGACAATTTAGCATTGTGAAGTTTAAAAAATGTTGAAAAAAGTCTTTTCTTCAATGATGATTATAAAAAGATGTCTTTCTTGTATAGCAGTGGAAAGAATTTGTGAGGACATAATTATGCAGGAATAATCATAGGAAGCAAAATTGATAAAGGCAAATAATTTATTGTCTTAAAAATGTTCCACATACATATAGAGAGAAATTGGCAGAGAAAGTAACTGTATATTAAGCAAACAAATTTCAGATTTCTAATTTACTAGTTAATTTCCTCCAAGTCTTATCACTTCCCTAAGATAAATGAGTTTGGTTTTGTTCTTACAGTGTAATATTCTCTTCCGGAAGCAAGAGAATAGAACTCACTGTCATATACCCTTTTTCCTCTCAATGAAAACATCTTAAAGATTCAAATTTTCTATTTTAAAGAGCAATTAGAATAAAATTGCAAATCATATCTTTCTTTTACATGAAATTATATTATGAGAATTTGTTATATAATCCATACTGAAAGCTATTAATATTTTAAGTACTCAAAAATGAAAAAGCCCACACAGACCATTTCTATGTCTATGATCCAAAGAAATTTCAAGACCAGAAGAACAACAAAGTTATTACTGATAAGTGAAGAAAGCTTTGATCCTGTCTGTTGCCCCAAATCATCATTTTTTTCCTTCAGTAAGAAATTTAATTTAATTCAGCAACTGTCATGTTCCAGACAAAGAGACAGATCATTTAAAGGAAGAGTCTAGTCAGACTTTGAGGCATTACTCTGCCTGCAACCATACGTCTTCCACTCCTAAATTTGATCCTCCTTAATCTAGCTTCTGACCACACTGCCACAGCAGGTATGTAGAGTCAGGGAGAGAGGAAAATTGTCTAATAGAAATGGTGTAATAAACTTCTAATTGCTGGGTCACCTTGTTAAAGTTTATTGCATTGTACTAATTAGTATTTCAATGTTGTTAATAGAAAAGGGTCATTGCATTTCATCACTTGAATACAGCTATTTTTTCCAGTTTTTCTACTCCAGTGTTGAGAGAGTTGGGGACCTGAGCAATGAATGGCTGGGATGTGCACTAGAAAGATGGAAAGGTGTCAAATGGAAAAAGTAGGCAGCATTCCAGTTCTCCACAAGGTTTCTTCAGAGACTTTGTAATCTCTGGAATACATATTGACTCATATTTAAATGTGTATCAAATAAAATCACAAAACCAAATGAGGATCAGAGGAAGTCTCTTGGGAAAAATAAGTTGGTTTCTTTTCTCTCCCTCCCTCCTTCCTTCCTTCCTTTCTTCCTTCCTTCCTTCCTTCCTTCTTTCCCCTCTCTCTTTCTTTCCTTCTTTCCTTCCTTCCTGCTATCTTACTTTTCCTTCCTTCCTTCTTTTCTCTATCTTTCTCTTTCTTTCTTTCTCTCTCTCTCTCTTTCTTTCTTTCTTTCTCTTTCTCTTTCTTTCTCTCTTTCTTTCTTTCTCTCTCTTTCTCTCTCTCATTCTTTCTCTCTCTTTCTTTCTTTCTCTCTTTCTTTCTTTTCTTTCTTGTGGTAGAACTGTAACTTGAACTTAGGACTTTGAGTTCTCACTTGGCATTATCATTCAAGTTTGGTGCTGTTACTTGAGCCACTCCTCCAGTTCCTGTTGTTTGTCTTTCATGATCTCTTTCCACATTGATATACATTCACTGATTATTTTTTAATTATTCTCAGTACTGTAGCTTGACCTCAGAGCCTCACACCTGTTAAGCCTTTTCCAGTTAAGCCATGTCTATAGCCTTGGTTTTCGATGGGTATATTTGAGATAGGGTCTTGAAAAGTTTTCTTCCCTAGATGGCATCCAATCTTGATCTTTCTTCTGTTTCCTGAGTCGCTAGCCACTAGTTGTTCATTGATTTTTATAACAGTGTATCTCTACATCTCTTTAACTGGTGAATAACCTATATTGATAGTTGTTTGTAAAACCTAATTAGAACACTTTCAGTGACACAGCTTGAAAATGGTGGTATTTGATTACTACAGGAAGTAAATTATTTCCAGATAAAGAAGATTCAAATCTTGAAGAAGTATTGCTGGCTCTACTGAAGAAAAATTTTGATTTCCAGAATCCTGCCAACATTGGTGAGTGAAGAACAAAGTCAAGCTTTATCTATTAAAAATAATGGAGCCCATTCCATCTCCAGATCTGGTACTGGAGTTTTAGGCACTAGTAACTGGATTTGAAGTCCAAGGCCCCAATTCCTGGATTCCATATACCAGGTCTGGTCATTCAATCTAGTATGTGAAATAAAGAAAAAACTAACGGTGAAGGTCAGAGAAAGGAAACAATGTGGCATGAGCACACTATGGGAAGAGAAGAGGGACAATTTCCAATTACGTCCCTTATACAAACATTTGCTTTAAGTTTAAATAGGAGTGGAAGAATTGGAAGTGAGAGTAAAAAGGCATACATGCTCATTAAACAGTTTCAGTTAGGAGGTGCTCTAGTGGTCAGAGATGTCAGTGACAGGTACTCTGATTGCTCATAGTTTCGTTATTAGTCAGGCAAGGCATTGTTACACTGGGACTCATGGCTGTCTAGTTGGGGTTAGGAGGTACTTTGTCTTTTCTTACAGAATATTATCCATCATCAGTCTTGTTCTTTTGGATTCCAAGAGTCAGAGTGAAGGAAACAGATATAAGACTAAGTTGGGATGCCATGCTTTTCATTTACTTTCAATTTACTTGTGGACCCAAGTTGAAAGCCAGTGTTTCTGAATAAAAGCAGCTTTTGAGTACTTGTCGTAGATGTGCTCTTTATAACTTCAATTTACATTAAATAAAACAATAACTATTCTTTCGGGTGACGCACTAAGAGCTTAAATGTTTTCCTTGGTACATATTCGTGCAAAAAGTCTCATAGTTATTAAAAAGCATTAAAAGCCTATGTCATTCAATTTGAGAATCCTAATGGATTGGTAACTATGAAGCTGAAAAATAGTTATTCTTACTTATGTTTTCCTTTTATGGAAGAGATGAGACCCTACAGTCCATGGAATAGTTAGTACTTTTTTTTCTTTAGTAAATTGTATTGTTTTTAAAAGAGGGTCTCGGTAGCTTATTATATGCAACACTAAATGTTATTTATTTATTTATTTATGTACTAATTGAACCCAGGGCCTTGCAGATGTTAGACAAACTCTAGCATACTGAACTACATTCCAATCCTAATATTGTCTTTTAACAGATATTTTGTCCTATAAAGGCAAAACTTTAAAAGTGCTTCACATGTTTTATGAAGTATTCTACAAACCCAAAAAATTCAATTGAAAATTGGTTAGCTTCACTATCAGAATTGGTGAACTTTCTAGCAGAAATTTATCAATACAATATTTTTAAAACATTTAGTGGAGGAGTGTCTTGGCACATATAATCCCAGCTATTCAAATGATGGAGGCAGGAGAATGGCAAGTTTGAGGCCAGACTGGGTAAAGTTAGTGAGACTCCATTTCAGAGAGAGGAAAACAAAAGAACCAAATCAAAATAAAGACAACTTCCATCTCCAAATCTTAATACTTAAAAATAATTTTTAAAATTAGAAATAAGATATTTGAGAGAAGTGAAAATATAGAAAGAAAAATTCAGCCGGGTGCTGATAGCTTATGCCTGTAATCCTAGCTACTTGGGAGGCTGAGATCTGAGGATTGCAGTTCAAAGCCAGTCTGGGCAGAATAGTCCCTGTGAGACTCTTATCTCTAATCAACCACTCAAAAACCAGAAGTGGAGCTGGGGCTCAAAGTGGTAGAGTGCTAGCCTTGAGTGAAAAGAGCTTAGGGATAGTGCCCAAGCTCCAAGTTCAAGCCCATTTCTAACAAGAACAAAAATTCATAGACACATTATAAAATTTAGAGAATTGCTACTAATATTTTGGGAAATTTTCTATCTTCATTGAACTATATGAACAATTTGTATCCTTTTATAACATTTAATATTGCTTCTTGGGATTTCACTATGTCAGTAAAAATGTAGTTGCTTCTTTCCAAATAACAGTATGTCTTGGTGCTATGACTTACCTTAGAACACTGCTTATTGTTAGAAATAGGTATTTTCTCATGATCTAACAGATTGTGTTTCAATATTATGAACAATATAAAATATATTGGAGGATTTACATAGGGATGGGCAGGTCATCTCAAATCACCTGAAAAAAAACTTTGCCACATAAAATCGTAAGTATTTTATCTGAAGTGAATATTATTTTCAATGTACATTGTTCACCTGACAAATATTTCTTGCAGATGTTGGACTGGCTCACAAACTGGAAGAACTAAATCAGGTAAGAATGAGAACCACTTAAATTCTCAATTTTACTCTTACAAGGCAATTTCTTTTTTTTTTTAATTTAATTTTATTTTTTTTGTGAACATGCTGTACAGAGGGGTTACAATTACATGGGCAGGATAATGTGTATATTTCTTATCAAGCATTGCAGCCTCTTCCTTTGTTTACTCTTCACATCCCTTCCCTACCTTCCCCCTACCCCCCACCACCCAATCCTCCCCCCTCCCCCCTCTTCCCCCCCCCCCCCCCCCAGTATATGTATGAGTCAAGCAGAAAAGGTCAGATAATGTGATGTTAGGCAATTTCTTTTTGATACAATGATTAAAAGAGTCACTAATACTCCAAGTGAAACTTTCAGTCCTGCTAAAGAAAGAATAATTTGCTACAAAAAAATTAAATTGTACTTGAAAAATAAAAGCAAAACAAAACTAGGGCTGATCATATTAATCATCCAGCAAGGAGACCTTGGGCCAACTAAAGGTATTTAAACATCTTATGGTGCTTTTTGGGATTGTTACCTTTAAGTAGTGGAAATCTTCCCCCCCATCCACACACTATGTGGTCTCAGCAAATGAAGTATGTGACAATGGAATTACTCTGCTTCAAGCAGATAGTTTGGAGAAATTGCAAAGCTACCTTCTTGACAGGAGGCCGGAATGAGTTCTGTGTTGTCCATTCTTTCATATTCTCTAAAGTATATTTACAAATGTTGAATAACATGACTGCTAGCCTCCTTCAAATAAGTTGGATGCTAATCTATTGTTCTATCATTTGGGAAAAGAAAGAATGTCTATTATTGTCTTTGAGCAAGAAGAATAGGAAGATAAGGAGTATTTTAGGTAGAGCACTTCCTGGTAGAATTGGCTCTTCAGGGGGTAAAGAGACATTGTCAAGTTCCTTGGAAAGAACTACTCTTCCTTGTATAAGAAATAAAATTTTGTCCTACGCAGCCCACATTTACTGGCTCTTTATGAATTTACACCCAAACTTTGAGTACTTTTGTCAAAATCTTGTTTCTTTTTTAGAATTTCTGATTGGGGCTGGGAAGGTGGCTCAGTGGTAGAGCGCTTGCCTTGCATACATGAGGCCCTGGGTTCGATTCCTCAGCACCACATAAGCACAAAGAAAAAACCAGATGTGGTGCTGTGACTCAAGTGGTAGAGCACTAGCCTTCAGCTGAAGAGCTGAGGGACAGCGCCCAGACCCAGAGTTCAGGCCCCATGACCGGACCCCCCCCCCAAAAAAAATTTCTGATTGAGTCATGTAATTTTCCAGCTAGCCTGGAAATGTATTTTTCTGTTATTATTTATTTTTGTTTATTTTCTCTTCTTTTTTTTTTTTTTTTTTTTTACCCTTGTCCACTCTGTCTTCCATCTTTCCTCTGTGTTTCTTCTTTTATCTTCCTTTTCACCAATAGAGAATAGAACTGATGTTATGGAAGACTAATTTCCATTTAATGTTTTTTTTTTCATATCAGTTAGAAAAACGAGACCATTTTATGGAGGCCAAGGATGCTGAGATGTCCTATGCTATGGATGGGCTAGCCTCATCCCATCCAAACAAACGAGGTAAGCTTTCATTTCAAATTTTGAATTTGATCGGAAAGATTATTTTTGTGATCATTTCTGAGATGGAAGAGATAAAGCTCAAGTTTTAGCCTTTATGAGGTAGAAGCAGGAAGATCCTGTGTGAAGGCCAGCCAACAAAAAGTTAGCAAGACTCTACCTCAAAACTAAGCTAGAGGGAATGTGGCTTAATGGTAAAGTGCTTGCACAGCGTGCATGAAGCCCTGGGTTCGATTCCTCAAGTGGTAGAGTGCTAGCCTTGATCAAAAGAAGCTCGAGACAATGTTAAGGCCCCGAGTTCAAGCTCCAGAACTGCAAAAAGCAACAACACCAACAACAAAACAACAACCAAGATAATGAAACAGTGGGCTATGAGGTGTAGCTTAAATGGTAGAGTGCTTACCTACCTGGGATGAGGCCCTAGGTTAAATCACAAGTAAAGCAAAAAGACAGCGTTCAACTACCTCAGTCTCTTGTATAACTGTGATTATAGCTATATGCCATTGCATCCAGTTGAGAAACGTTTGTTGGTTAGGGCCTACTAATTTCTAAGAATAATTAGTTTGTCCATTGTATTGTTTCCCCTAGTGTTCACCCTGCCTGTGATTTCTGCTTTTCTTTCACTGGAGACCTCTCCAACTTGGAGGAACCATTTTCTTCATGAATTGCACACTTTTCTCAGGTCTCTCAAAATATTTACAAAGTTGCTAGTGCAAGTTTATTTTGTCTCAAAGTTCCCAATATATTTTTTACTTTAGGACGCAACATTCTCTTGGCAATGGCACTTTTCAAAAATTTGGAAAACTCCCAGGCACCTGTGGCTCATACCTGTAATCCTAGTGACTGTGGAGGTTGAGAAATAAGGACTGTAGTTTGAAGCCAGCCAGGGAAGGCACATCCTTGAGGCTTATCTCCAATTAACCACAAAAAGCCAGAAGTGGAGCTGTAGCTCAAGTGGTAGAGCACTATCCTTGAACACAAAAGTTCAGGGACAGCACCCAAGCCCTCAACTCAAATCCCAGGACTGGCATAAAAACAAAACAAAACGAAAATTGGAAAGATTACCAATTGTTTTCTTCACATAAATGTTTTTAGTAACACATTTTTGATTTATTTAAGACAGTGTGTTAACTATATAACCCAAGCTGGATCAAACATTTGAGTCTACTGTCTCAGCCTCCTGTGTGCTGGAATTATAGGTGTGCACTACCATGTCTGGCACTCAAAACATTCTAATTATTTGTTTTTCACTCCAATAATATCAGTTTCCTGGAAAAAAAAGCCTAGTCTGAATTTTTTCTGGAATTATTTATTCCAATTGATATTCACTAAACCTCTGTTTCCTAACACATCTAATAATCTCATTTCATGGTGTTAAGGATTTAGAAGCAATTAGCTCTTTCAGTCTTTTTGAACTCTATTATTATTATTTTTAAATATAAAAATCACCATTTCCTTCCTGAGCTCAGCAAACTCTTGTTATTCTTTTTAAAATCTAACTCAGTGCAACTTTAACTTATTTCCAATTTTTCATTTTCCAACCTTCTAGAAATTTAAGAGGTAGCTGGTCCAAAGTACATAAGTGTTTTGGATGCCAACTTTGCCACATTTGTTACCATCTTGTAAAATGGTTTCATATTTTCCCAACTTGTAAGAACAATTTATTATCCCACTAATTCGTTGCTTACACTTCTCGGAGTAACAGCTCACTTTGATTCATCAATTTGCATATTGGGATATGGTTGGCCGATGACATTGTCAAAAACAACCTCAAAATCTCTGTAGTGTAGCTTCCTGTGTTTTATTTTTAATTTATATGAAGCTGGGGTATACTGATTAGTTTTCCTGCCCTTCTTGCATAAACTATGTGGAACACCCGGTCTGCTTTCCCCCTGGCGTGATAGGAGAGGCTTAGAGGATGTAAGCTTATCTTCTTACTGCTAAGTACATAATCTCAAATTAAGTGTGGTTGAGGGCACCTAGGAAAGGTAATGATGGTTAAAGAATAGTTTGAGATTCCTATCTTTACTGCAGACCTTATGGGCTTCTTACAGCCTGCACAACACAATCCCCTTGTGACTTGAGAACACCTTTGGGCGTACAACTGGGAGTCTGGAGAAGCAACACAGATTGGAAGTATAAATTTGACATATGTCAGCATCTTCATAGTTGGCACTGTGAGCAGATGGTCTGAGGAATGACTCCAGATAGAGATAGAGAGGAAATATATTCAAAGACGGAGATTCAAATCACTCCAGGGTTAGACATTAGGAAGATGATGGAGAATCAGCAAAAAGGGCCAAATAGGAGCAACTAAGAAAGGAGGCAATGAGGAAAACAACATACAAAATCAATTGAGAACACCAGTTTGGATGAGGTAGGAACCAAGTAAGTATCTGTGACGATGGATATGTAGAGTAGATGGTTGGTTCTGGTCATGAAAACAACTCACATTACTGTGAAGTTACTGATAGTGGCCAAAATAGAACTTTCAAACAATAGAATTTTCAAACAATCATGTTTGAAAACAAAATGGATTCAGAAACCCAGCTGAAGGCATTAAGAATTTATACTTACTGTGAGATACTATAATTCTCTGTCTGTCTGTCTGTCTCTCTCTCTCTCTCTCTCTCTCTCTCTCTCTCTCTGTGTGTGTGTGTGTGTCTTCTTGCACTAGGGATCAAACTCAATATCTTGGCACTGTCCCTTAGCTTTTTGGCTCATGGCTGGAGCTCTGTTTGAGCCACAGCTCTACTTCTGCCTTTATTGGAGATAAGGGTTTTGTGGACTTTCTTCCTGGGACTAGTTTTGAGTCACAGATCTCAACCTTCAGAGTAGCTAGGATTACAAGAGTAAGCCACTAGCACCCAGCTCGTAATTTTCTTTCATCATTTAGAGTATAATCAATAAATCACATTCAATACTATGAACATAGCCATCCATACTCAGCATTGGGCTAAAATCAGACTTTATGGGAGGAAATTAGACAGACATCAAGGGGCACCAAGATACTAGCTGCCGTTTTGTTCATGTAAATGATAAACAATATGCAAACTATGGGAGCTAACTGTTAGCAAGACCACTTGGAGTAGTTCCTTCCAACCAGGTCCAGAAAACTCGAAAGTATGTTCAATTGCACATTCCATTAAACTGCTCATGTGGCCTGCATCCTGGTGATGTGGGGCTTATAGTTTTCTGCCAGACAAAGATTCAAAGATAGCTGAATAACAGCATACTCGGTGATGGAGTAGTTCCACAATGCACTAGAAAAAAGAAGATTAGATTAGTGGACCAAGCACTTTTGCTCCTGGTCTGAAAATAGACTTCTGCTTTCACAGCATGTGAGTGTGGTTTTGGGTAAGGAAAGCTGTGGTTCCTGTAGAAACGAGAAGTCGATTCTGAATGTGATCCTAACAATCTCTGCATATGTGCTGATAGGCAGTGAGGTTACAGTTTAAAGAGAGACTTTATTTGGAGAGGGAAAGCTAATAGACTTGGGTATTTATTTATTTATTTTTATTTTGAAAATTTATTTAATTCTAGCCTTAAACTCAGGGCTTCCCTTGCTCAAATTTGGTGTACTTATTTGTGAGCCACAACTCTACTCCCAATTTTTTTTTTTTTTGGGTCCGGTTGTGAGGCCTGAACTCTGGGCCTGGGGGCTGTCCCTCAGCTCTTCAGCTCAAGGCTAGTGCTCTACCACTTGAGCCACTGCGCCACTTCCGGCTTTTTTCTTTTTGTTTATGTGGTGCTAAGGAATCAAACCCAGGGCCTTAGGCATGCAAGGCAAGCGCTCTACCACTGAGCCACCTTCCCAGCCCCTCCCAATTTTTTCTTTGTAATTAAACAGAGATAAGAGTCTCATGGCATGAGCTATCTGCACCTGGCTTATTTGTTTATCATTTATTTTCACTATAATTTTTTTTCTTTTTGTGCTAAGGTATTGCTATCTACCTCAGGCTTGGCCTTTAACCGCTCCTTAGGCTACTAAGGGCTGGGATTATGAACAGATATTACTATATCTAACTCAAAAGATTTTAGTTTTCATAAACTATTTAGATATCAAATAGTTGGAGAAATTTATAAGTAGTTAGATGTACCTGTTGTAAATTAGATGGAGTAACTGTGAAGAGACCCTGGAATGGTGGGAATAATTTACTTATGTATCAGAAAGACTGAAATGCTGTTAAATTTGGTTTGATTTGTCTGAAGCATTATTTTATGACCAGATTATGAGGACCCCATGTTGTTTGATGATCAGTTTAGTTAACTATCAAGTGCTGGTTTGCAAGATGATCTTTAACCTCTGTTTCTTTCCCTTTCCTCAATAAATAGAACACACTTCTCATTGTCTTTACTTATGTGACTTCCTCTTTAGACTTTCTGGTACCCCACGAGTAAAATAGAAGGATGGGTCTGATAGGTCAACCTGCTGTGTCCTCTGGGGTATTATATGAATAATAATGTATAATGGTGCTGTACAATAAAACCTTTCTATGACCTGATCATTTTCTAATTTCTTCTGTCAGCACTGGTTAGAAGGCATTTTTGTGCACTTGGTATGTGGCTAATATGGTACAGAAGATGAATTTCAACTTTGTTAAATTTTAATTAATTAATTAATTAATTTTCAACTTATTTTCAAGTAGTGGTAGAAAGGAGTTTCACTTCAACATACAATTGCATCTTGATTATTGTCATCCCTTCCTTCATTCTCCCTCATCTCTCCCAACTCCATCCCCTTAAGTTAATTAAGGATCAATAGAAAGCTAACAATAACCATTTTTGAACATTTTTCAATAAAACTCTCTTTTCCTTATTCAAGAATATATATATATATATATATATATTATTCAAATGTAAGTTTCCATAGAATATACTTCTAATAATGAATTTGCTTTGTTTTCTTCTTTAGCTTGCTTTTGGAAATACTGTGTTTAAAGCTTTTCATCTGGATGCAAAATCAGAGAACATTATACACACATATGCATATTATATACACTCTATTGCTGAAAGATGGTAGGTGTTTCAAGCATAAAAAGGCAGTAACACTTATCCTGAATGCTATTTTTCTCCCTTTGCTAACTTGTTGCCATGCAGATTACAGTAGGCTTAATGTTTAAGTATGGATAATTGAATAGACTGGTTACAATTTTGAGTGGCATGAGACTTTCAAAATGATATTTGAGCATGAGTTGAGAGTACTGTATTGTATACTTCCAATAAATTCATTGTCTATATACAGTCTCATGGTGATGATGATGTTATCGAACTGTCAATTAAAATATTTTAAAAAGCATCTTGGAAGGTGAAAATAAAGTATAATGTCTCCATTTGTCTGGTGAGTATATATCTTTACTCACTCTCTTTTCTATAATGTTGTTGTCAGCTTTTTTTTTGTTAGTTAGAACACGTGTCCTTGAGACTAATATAGAATTTATTGGAATCTGAGAGAAAGAAATAATAGATATCTAGAAATCCAATGCTAAAAAAGCTTATTATAAAATTCTCACGTTTGCCTTCCTCACAATGTCAGAAACAGAGATGTTCCATATGCCTGCGAGGGGCTAGGCTTGTGCTAAAATCTAACAGCAAATCCCCAAATGTCTTGGTGTTTCCTTGCTATGTTTTAGTTTTAGGTGATGTTCTTGCTATATTTGCACAAATTTATTTAATCATCACAAGAATGTAGTTTAAATTTAATTCTCTCCATCACCAGTGCTATCATAAAAATATTTTCAAGTGTCTTTCTTAAAATTATCTTTAAAACGTTAAATAAGGAGATGACATTTTAATGAAACAGTTTATGAATGTAATTCTTCTTGATCAGTGAAAGAACCATATAACCTTAGTTTACTTCACTTAATATACTTTCCAGTCTCTCCATTCCCTTACAAATGGTAAATTATCATTCAAATAGGTAAGTAAAATTCCATTGGTATATATAGTACATTTTCTTAATCCATTTGTCCATTAAGGGGCATCTGGGCTGATTTCATATCTTGGCTATGTCAAATAGTGCTGCAATGAACATGGTTGTGCTGATGGTTTTACTGTGTAAGTTTGTTTGTAATCTATTGGATAAATGCCCAGAATTAGTATTGCTAGGTCATAACAAAGTTTCTATGCTTAGTTTTTTGAGGAACCTCCATACTGTTTTCCAGTATGGTTTGCCAAGTCAACATTCCCACAAACAGTATAAGAGTTCTCTTCGGCTGCATCCTCTCCAACATTTGTTATTGTTTCCTTGACAATGGCCACTCTGGTGAGAGAGAATCTCAGTGTTGTTTTGATTTGCATTTTCCTATGGTCAAATATCTTTATAATAAAAAAGGTTAATGAGAGTACATTTATATACATTGCCTTATTTACAGCATAGGGAAGAAATGCAGATTTATCTATACAATATTAATTGTGTGGTGCTCAAAAATACAGTGATATCATGACATTGAATGAACAATACTGTTTAAACTAGAGTGTAAAACATATATGTATTCACATATATTGAATATTTTGCATATATTGAATAACTATTTCAACCAAAGCACTTTTATACACACACACACACACACACACACACACACACACAGTGACTAATTTAGGAAACATGCCTTCAGTGTTTCCTATGTTTGTTTAGGAATAATTCATATGTACATAATAAATATTAGCAATGTGATAATGTCTGACAATATTTCTATGTATTAACACAAGTTTTAAATACAAAGGTATTGTAAAAAAGATGAAAAACTCCTGTTTTTATCATCTCATGTTTAATAACTTTGTCTAAGGTGGACAATTTCAAGTCTTTTAAACCGTTAGCATAAGGGATTATGCCATTCAAACAGCTTCTAATGTCTGTTTTTTTCAAAAGATTCCATTAAGTCCTTTAAAAAAATTTCACTGTAAGAAATTTAATTCTCTAAAGCTACAAATGGGTTAATTAAAATTTTGAGCATAAATTTTTATGGCAAATGTAGTTAGAAATGACTGTCCTTCATGAAAAGTTAGCCATGTAAAGAACTCAGAAAGTAATGACCACATGTTCATTTGCTCCACAGAGTTCTATATAGGAACAATGAATAAAAGGTAATGTGTTTTTGAACAGAACAAAAAATTCATTCCAGTTAGTGGATTCCCAGTAGAGTATAGTGGATTTATTGATAGTCAACAAATGGAACTAATAAATGAGATGAGTCGTCATCTTCTGATCAGAAATTATGTTTAAATTTACATTAAAGACACCCCTTTTAAAATAGTATATTGCTACCTTATTTGCTGTTCTTTATAAAGCTGTGAGGAAACTGAAATATGTAATAAAACAGTTATAAGAGAAGAAAAATATTTCAGATTGCTTTACTGAAGTTTAGTCCACTTATTTTGAGGTAAGCCCATTTCCCACTGGCATAGAGCATACATCAATATATTGTGTTCTATTTAATTAAATTGATTGTTGTAGTCTAATTTTGAATAAAAAGTAGAAAGTAAATTTGTTAATCTAATTTATTTGCCAGAGAAACTTTTCAGTGAAAGTAGATTTTAATGTCATTTGTCAAAGCACAACGCAGCAATGAATTGATTAGATACTTGAAAATACTCAGTTGGGAGAAAAAAGTAAAGTAATAGCTTTCAAGAAATGAGAAACATTTTCATAGTTCATCAGAAAGTTAGGGAAAGACAGAAAAGATAGATAATTACTTTTTAAATAATTCTTTAAAACTCTGAGTCCTGCAGGTAACATAATTATCAATCTAACACAAATTTCTGAAGAATGTTTTTGGTTATTTTTCAATGTTCCTTTCTCTTTGCTACAGTCTCTACTACAATTATAAGGAACATTTATTTATTTATTTTTTAACATACACTTGAAGATTCTCAACATGTAGATGATTTCCTATAGAAGGTAAGAAATGACATATAAAGTCATATAAAGACATATAAAGTAACATACATGTACATTTTTTCACTTGAATTCATCAGATCATTAAAAAGTGGGTTTCTATAAAGCATTATGGGTAGCTGAAAAGCATGATTTTTTTTATGAAGGTCAATTATTTAAGTTCAAGAGTTTTGGGTTTTCATCTGATGCATTTTCTTCATTATTATGTTTGGCAGATGGTCAGTTCCTTAAAAGTTTAATCATTAAGGAGTATTAAAAGACTTCATGAAGCATCTTCCATATTTCTGTGTAATTTCAGACAAGGAAGTTGCACCTGCAAAATCAAAGGTTGAAATGATTAAAGGTAATTAAGACCTCTAGAGTCAGGTGAAAAGCCCTCAATTTTAGTAGAAAAGACTTAAGCTTCAAATTACATGTTGGCACATTAGAGTTTTCATTTATATGACCTACTTTCCTTTTGAAGATAATAATGTAAAATGATAATTTCATATCAAGATAAATTAAAACAAGTATTTTTGTTTATTAACATACTTAAATACTTAATACTTAAAACAAGTATTAAGCTAAGTGTTTATGCTCAAATATAAACAAAAATTATGACACGTTTTTCTCCTTTCTTCACCTATCTATTGTAAAATGTTTTATTGGTTCAAGGCCATTTCCATGTCAAAAAGAAGAATGGTAAAGAAAAGTTGTATGTTACTTTCTGTTGATAATTGTTTTATAGTTTTCTCATGTTAAAAGGATCCGGCCACACACTGTTGTTTGCATGTGCTATTCCTGATGCATTTCCATCATATTAATTCCTATGAATGATAGTCTCAACATTTCCTTAAGGAAAAATATTAAATGGATAGAACAGGTAATATATGCCCGATATTACTAAATGAATAGTCTTCATATACATTGCCATAAGAACAATATCTTTAGAGGTCAGTTTTCAAATTTCATCAATAATATCCTGATTTCAATGGGAGAGACAGAGAAATTACTAATTGCTTTAAGGGAAGCTGTGACACTCTCCACAATCTATCTCTTTGAGTCTGAGTTCATGAGAGAAAAGGCCAATTAAAAATCTCAAAACATTTGTACAATATTAATGATTTGGAAAGGAGAGCATATAAATGCCATGTTATCATCCTTTCTAAGGAGAAGAGACTGACAATGAGTTTGGAAACTAGCTAGCACACAGCAGCTGTACCTAGGTTTGACCTCAAACCAAACCATACATCTATGGTGAGGTACTAGTTTCACTTTGAGTGAGAAGTCTCAAAATAAAATCCAGAAGGTGAAAACTTACAACTGAACATGATGAAATAAACAATATTTTGACATTCACAGAAGTAGAACAAAGATTTCCAGAAGTATATTTCTATTTGTCTCAGAAATGTATGATCAGGGATGTTAGTACACCACAAGGACAATTTAGCAATAGCACCTGACAGGTTATGATAGGTTATGAAGAGGATGTTGGTGTAGAAGCTTAAAGGCCCTGGCCACCTAGGATCTGCTTCAATTGGCTGAAAATTTATAAAATTTTGGGTAAATACATTTTCTCTCATAGCACTTGTTTTCTGAATTTTCATGTTCATTGAAACCAAACTATGAGAACAGCCCAGATAACCCTTGATGGATGGATGAAGATAATGTAGTATATATATATATATATATATATATATATATATATATATATATATATGTATGTATATATATGTATATGTATATACATATATATATTATAATTTTACTCATTCATTAGAAAGAATAGTATTGTATCGTGTGTAAGGAGAAGGAAAGAATTATATTAAGTTAATTGGAGTCAGACCCAGAGAAACAAAGGTTGCATGATTTCTCTCATTAGTGGAAGACAGAATGTGCTTAAAATTCAGTAAGCAAACATGCTTAGTGGTATGCAAGCAGTTCCAAATGAGTTAGCTAACTATGGAAAGCACAAACAGTACAATTATTTTAGACAGACAAAGTCAAAGCCCAACAAAATAAGCATCAAGAAATGGGTATTTACAGAGAGCGCAGCCAAGTGGGA